AGGCTGGAGCACATGTATCACCAGCAGACATCCCAAGTAACCACAGTCTGCAGGATGATCAAAGCCGGGACCACACAACATCAACCTCCAAGACTCTCCGCATGGAGGTAGAGTGACTAGGTGGAAGATAATATACCACGGTATGACTTATGGTTGGCTTTGCAATGCAGATTTTTGGAATAAATAGATAAGTAGTATACCTGAACAGGCAATGCACCCCTCTGAGTGGGATTCTCAACCTAAAGGGGACATACAACTGTAAGTAAAAGTAATATATATAGAAAAAAATAACTTATCATGTCACAGTCAAACTGATGTTTGAAGGGCAACAGGTGAAAGTAGTACCCCAACGAGGAAGAAACAGACACCTAATGAAAGTAGTGAGAGATGAACAGATGAGGTGTCATCCACATGCCCAACTGAAGAATTTCCCCCAATGGACAACAGAGGTGAGATGCCAGGGAAAAGGTAAGGTGTCATATTGGATGCAACAGCACCTGTAACAAATAGGGAGAAATATACCAGTCTAATAAGTTGATGAAGCCAACCTGTATGGGTAGAAGGAGAAAGGTCACATAAGGAGGAAAGTTTACAGGGAATGAAAAAGTGGGATTGGTAAACAGGAGGAGGCCATGTGGACAATATAACAATGAAGAGCATGAATGGGACATAAAGTCCCTCTAGATCAGACCAAAAATAAATGTGGGAAATGAAATCAGTGTGAATGAAGAATGTCCCTCATGAGCCGTCAAAATTTGGGACAGGAAAGATCAATCTAGCTAAAGGAGAACATATGTAGTATGGAACAGAGTAAGTGAAACATCGATTGCAAAAATATCAGATCATAAGGAGGAAAGTTTACATGGAATGAAAAACTGGGATCGGGAAACAGGAGGAGGCCATGCAGACAATATAACAATGAAGAGCACGATTGGGACATAAAGTCTCTCCAGATTAGACCAAAAATAAATGTGGGAAACAGCAGGAAAAGAAATCGGTGTGATTGACGAATGTCCCTCGTAAGCCACCGAAATTTGGGGCAGGAAAGATCGATCTGGATAAAGAAGAACATATGTAGAATGGAAAAGAGTACATGAAACATCGACTGCAAAAATATCACATAGACAATACCCATAGGCTAAAAGGACTAGGAAATAAGTCTTAAGGGATAGGTGAAACAGAGAACAGAAAGACAGTGGTTCAAATGGAGGGAGTATGAGACAGTGAAGAACAATATTCACATTTCAATCTGGAAGAACCATCTGACAAGGAGGTTGACAAATCCAGAAGGAGCATAATAAAATGAAGACAGTAGGAGAGGAAAACACAGTACCTGGAAAAACAGAAGGTGTTGGACAAGGCCTGCTCAATAACCTGCAATGGAAGAGACAAAAGCCTTATGATCAAACAGTCAGGTAAGAAAATCCATGAGGAAAGGAACATTGGAATGAAAAGGGGAACCCCATGTCTTAACGACCAACAGCAGAAGACGTTCCACTGATGTTGATAAACTGCAAGGAAGGAAGGAAAGGTGAACAGATCGGGCTAAAAAGGAAGCAACATGCACAGACAATGCTGATCTTTTCAAAGGGACCAGATAAATGGCAGTGGTGATTGAGGTTGATGGAGGAGGGATGGAGTGAGAGGAAGAGGTAATGAAGGGGTATTTTGGAGCTGAAGGGGAAGAGGAAACCAAGGTTGTGCCAGTCAGTAAGGATCAATAAAAAGGACCTGACACAGAGTTAAATGGATGACAGAAATCACTCTGGGAAGAAGTCAGATAGGAGGGTGGGCATAAAGGTACAATTGGTGCAGTCCTGACTGAGAGTATCTACTGCCAAAGCCTGTAGCTGAGGAATCGGAGACCAAAAAAGAGGTAACTTGGTGTTGAGGGAAATGGCAAGATACTCCAGATGAGGAGAATCCCAGTGATTGTAAAGCCACTGAAAAATATGTGAATTGAGGGACCACTCAGTGGGGGAAAGACAATCTGCCATGAGGTTGAACAAACCCAGAACATGACACGCTATGAGACATACTACAGTGTGTGGGCTCAACAGAGTAGTTCCAATATTCCACCACAAGGGGAACAAGAACAGGAATCTCCTTGAAATAAGAGCCAACAGTGGAACTGTCTTAAGAGATCATAATGAGTCTGTTCCATACAATAGGAAGAAAATGGTCCAAAGCATGTCGTGCTGTCAGAATCTCCAAGATGTTGACATTGTAAGAACTTTCTGTCTGAGACCATTGTCCAGAAGCCTCCTGTTAATAAACCAATACCCCCAACTCCAGAGAGAAGTATCATTGAACAAATCTAGACTAGGAGGAGGAAGCAGTACACCCACCACAGTGTTTTCCCTATTCAACCACCAATGGAGATCATCGAGAAGGGAAGGTAGAGTCCAAGGGATCCCAAGTAATATTCCATTGGATATGCAATGTCCATAGAAGAGAACACACATGTGCAGGACCCAAGGGAATAAGGTCTTTCACGGAAACACAAGTCCCCAAATGCAATAGAACCTCATGTGCAGAAAGACAGAGAGAAGAAAAGATGTGAAAAACTGAAAGCTCCATCACAAATGGATAAAGTGGAGAAGGTTGGGCCCAACTGAAGCAAGTGTTGAAAAACACACCCAAGAGGACATGATATTGGGTAGGAATCAGGAAAGACTTCTCCATCTTGAGAATCCAACCAACAAAAACTGCTTCTGTGTGTTGAGAAGACACCAGTTTGGAAGGAGTTAGCAGAAGCTAGTCATCTATGTAATGGTATAAGTGGAAGCCTGAAAGGTAAAATATGAAATTGAAATACAACCCCATTGTGGACAAACTGAAGACAGCATCGGGACTGATGAGAAATGGGAATATGGAGATAAGCATCTAAGACGTCCACCTTGGTTATCCACAGACCTGGAGAAAATGCCTACCAAAAGGTGAGAAAGGATTTCATGGTGAAGCAGGTAAAATCCAGAAATTGGTTGAGGTGGGTCAGAGCAATCACAGGACACAAGTCCCCAGTCTTCTTGGGGACAACAAAACCTGGGGAAGGCTGGCTGACACGCTTGACAGCATACTATAAGAGAAGAGTCTGAACAGCCTCGGATAAATGCTGACTGGTAGCGGGATCCCGAGGTGATGGAAAGAATTTTGGAACCAGACAAAGGGGGAGGGGAGAGGAAACAAAGAAAAAGTCCATTTGACAAACCTCTGATCACCCACAGCCAAATGCTATTGGATAGTCACCAGAACTGTTGGCAGCAAAGAGTACGACTGCGAGTCAAACGACAGGCCAACACACCCTTTGAGTAATGAACAGGCAAATGCTGAAAAACAGGTATAGAGTAAGGTACAAGAGCAGGCTGAGACAAATGAACAACCAAGGAAGAATGGATTGAGTGTTGCCTTGCGGATTCCATATACGACTATAAAGATTCAAGAATATAGCAAAAAAAAAAAGAGACCAATGGAGAAAATAATCCATCCACAGGTCATAAAGACGTGTAAATGAGAGATGTAAGGTGAAGATGAAGGTAGGAAAACTGAGTGTGGGATGATTCATGGGGATTGTCCCACCACAAAGACAAAAATGGTTCCCACTGTTAGAATTCCTGATAAGTAAGCCAATGCATATGGAGCTACTGATGGATAAAAAGGCATGATGGCACCAGACCTTAATTGAGAAACAAAATGCACAGCATATACTATAAATTTGAGAGAAGAATGGGGATAGGGTAACCGGACAATAGAGTGGCATGTAACTTTTCAGAGAGAGGATCATACAAAACTAGGGATACAGAAAAACATAACAAACCTGAGAAAACATATCCAAAAAGGATAAGATAAGCCTAGCAAATTTTCAGGAGGTACAAACATAAAAAAAAAGCTATTCAAATTCTCCTAATCATGAACAGTCACTACAAAGACAGAAGGATCCCATACACTGTCAGGAAAAGATGGACGAGACACGTAAAATTCAACTTCTGCAAATGACAGCTGAAAAATCCTCACACCTGAAGCCTGTGTCACAACAATCAAAGTAATGCTAATTGTAGCTAAGCTTGTGACACAAAATTCCAAGTTTATTATCAACTGTGAGAAGAAGCAAAAAAAAATCGCAAACTACAGTGAAGAAACTGCAGAAAAAAAATTATTAAAGAACATGAAAGCACTACTTTGAAAAAGAGAGAAAAAATTCATGATAAATGAAACATCAGGAGGGTGTCTTGCACTCTTATTGGTGGAGGGTTGTCACATGATGATTTACATGTAAAGACAAAGTAAACCACATTGATCGTGGGGTAGGTGGGAGTTTCAAGGCTTGTGGCATGCAAAAAATTTGGCAAATAGAGGGCAGCATTAAACAAGAATAGCTATTATGTGAGAGTAGGTAAGGTACTGTATCAGAACTGTAACTTTGTAGTGGACATATAATTAATGTTTATTACAAATGTATACTCTGTACTGTTCAAACATTTTATTTAAGTTCATGAATGCTACAAGAAAAGGCTTCTAAGGTATTAAATAATACAAAATTATATTAACAATATAAGTTATGCTTACTTCATAGTTTCTAATGTGTTGTTTATTTCCTTGTTTTATTTCCATGAGTTTTACCTACCATAAGACCATAAATTACACTATTTTTCCAATACTGAAACTTAACAAAAATATTCAAAATAAAAATTACAAAAACCTAAAGACTAATAGTTTACAAGTATCAACAAAATCTTACCAATAAATATATAAAAATTTTACTTCAACAAAAAACATTGATGAAAGGCAGAGCTAGGGGTGAGGGATTCAAAGCCACCCCAATATTGAAAAAGTCTTAATGGTTCACTATATTTTGATTGTTTTTTAACTAAACACTTGACTTTCATGTAAATCATTTAAATTCTTTGTGTGGAAGATCCATGATTTTTTGGAAAAAGATACTCCCACTTTCTAGTGGTGACTACATCCCTGCTCACTTATACGTGAATTAGCACACCTACCTCTTAAACCAATTATAGGAGCTTCAGGATTCATTTTGGCTGATGAGGCAGCAGCTTCCCATGTTTTAGGGAAAGAACAGTGAGGATTGAGAACAGTAATAGCTGTACTAAACTTGTGATGTTTGCTAAAAAATAAAAATTAACATTATGTTATTTGATGGCTTTTTTTATACAGTAAATATGCCTAAAAACGTTTAATAATTATGTTATTTCAGAACATCACTGAAGGTCTTAACACATTCAAGATATACTATGAACTGGAATTTTGCAACTGAATGACACCTCAACCCTTTCACTTCAACTGCACTCTTTAAACTCCTTTCTGCACAAGTCATGAGGTTTTTCCGAGTTACATCCAAAAGTTAATCAAACAACTTTACTACCAATGTATTCTAATGAAATTAGCATTATCATGTATGTTATAATTCAAAGTTTTGTCTCTATTAGTTAAATCATACCTCATGTATACTGTACAAGTATGTCTAGACTGAATCTACTGATACAGTGCAGTTTATGCATTCTTAGTTCAAATTCCATCAGGGAAACTGGAAATCAGAGACAAATAAACTTGCTCACCCCCTCTTCACAGTAGCCACACACACTTTTTTTATTTGGATGTTATTTCAAGTAACACGTACTTATTTGATTGACAAGTTTATAATCAATAGAAACAGCTAATTTTAAACTACAATCTTTCAATTGTTATTTTAAAAATAGTATGCACTATTTGCTACCAGTTAAATTGTATTTAGGTTTTCCTTTCATATTTCTGTTAATTATGTATTATTTATGTTTAAAATTCATATTTGAGAGGTTTAATAATTTTTGAATATAACCCATATTTCACCCCAGTTTGCAAGGTTTAACTTACTATGCGAGTGACCCGGCATGGCCAGGTGGTTAAGGTGCTCGACTCACAATCTGAGGGTCGCGGGTTCGAATCCCAGTCACACCAAACATGCTCGCCCTTTCAGCTGTGGGGGCATTATAATGTGAAGGTCAATCCCACTATTCGTTGGTAAAAGAGTAGCCCAAGAGTTGGCGGTGGGTGGTGATGACTAGCTGGCTTCCCTCTGGTCTAAATTAGGGACGGCTAGCGCAGATAGCCTTCGTGTAGCTTTGCGCAAAATTCAAAACAAAACAAACAAACTATGCGAGTGCAAAAAGATACTGTAATATGCCCTGAGAATACCCATGAAAAACTGAGTGAAAATAACTACAATATATAATGAATTTTTAGTAGAAATAATAGAAAAAATAAAAGTTAAATATGTTATCTTTCTGAAACTACATGCTTTTAAGAAAGTTCCTCTCAAATTTCAAACAATTCCATCCACTAGTTTTATTTTAGAAACGAAATTTGAGAGAACTGCTTAACCTATTTATAATGTAAGTAGGTCGATGTGAAATGGTTATGAGCACATGGACTAAACTGCTAGGATTCAGGTATACCCATCTATAAGTTTGAAATACTGACCAGAAGGAAAGCACTCAGTCAGCAGTACCTGCTACATAAGGGTTTCGTCTGGCTCTTTAGACCAAATATTGAGATCTACTGCCAATTTTATAACACATCTACAGGTAAGAATGCAAAGCATGTTGACCAGCTTCATGTCTAAAAACCAAGATTCTTTGTATTGAATCTCTGTTATTTTACCATAAAACTTTACATTAGTAATTACACTGTAATGCATAATAGACAATATATTTCTAAAAAAAAGAAGAAAATCATATCATGCTTTTATACATCTGACTAAAACTTTTGACATCAAGTTTGGCATTGATGGAAAGGTTCTTATTGTCTAGCAAAATATATATTTCAATAAAATGTTTAGAAGAAAAATGACCTTTATACTCCAGATAATTATAAAAGAACTTCATATTTTAATCAATATTTTGTCTTTGCAGCTTCATCAGATTAGTACATAAAACTGTTTGATATCAGAATATTATAAAACTACTTGTAATGTTCTGTTTCTCGAGTCTGCCATAACGTGCATCTAACATTCTATATATTATTATTACTGTATCACTATTGTTCTAATATTATAGTATAGTTATAATACTAACAATACAGCTATATTGACATATGACATATATTAATTATTTAAATATTATAATAATAAAAGGGCGTGTCTGTGGGTCTGTGTAAGTGTGACCAAAATAGCTCCATGAGAACAGAACCTAGAAACCTGAAATTTTGCACCCATACTACCTGGACCCTGAGGGTTTTCATCTGGGTATTATTACATAACTATATGTGTGTGCACATGCTCATCTTTTTCTGTGAAAAAACACACAGAAAAGAAATGTGCACACATCTTTTTAATGAGGCAAGCTAGCAAAAACCACATAGAAAAGAAGTGGTTCCTTATATTACAAATAGAAATCAGACAGACAGACACACGCATTCTCATGTGTGTGTGTCTATGTATGTGTGACCACCATATCTCCATGAAGAAAGAACCTAGAAACATGAAATTTTGCACCCATATTAAATGGACCCTGAGCATATGCACGTGCACATCCTTTTAATGAGGCAAGGTAGTGAAAAACCACATAGAAAAGAAGTGGTTCCTTATATTACAAATTATAGATATATAAATCAGACAGACAGACATGCACATCTTTTTAATGAGGCAATCTAACAATAAAACACAGAGAAAAGAAGTGGTTCCTTATATTACAAATAGAAATCAGACAGACAGACACATGCATTCTCATGTGTGTGTGTCTATGTATGTGTGACCACCATATCTCCATGAAGAAAGAACCTAGAAACGTGAAATTTTGCACCCATACTAAATGGACCCTGAAGGTTTGAACCTGGGTATTATTGCTTATCCATGTGTGTGCACACACGAGTCTTTTTATGCGAAAAACTACACAGAAAAGAAATGTGACTGCCATAGCTCCAAGAGGAAAGAACCCATACTAAGTGGTCCCTGAGCATATGTTCATGAGCATATGCATATGCACATCTTTTTAATGAGGCAATCTAGTAAAAAAACACAGAGAAAAGAAGTGGTTCGTTATATTACAAATTATAGATACAAATCACAGACAGACATGCACGTGCACATCTTTTTAATGAGGCAATCTAGCAAAAAACCACAGAGAAAAGAAGTGGTTCCTTATATTACAAACAGAAATCACAGACAGAGAGACAGACATGCACGTGTGTTTACACAAGAACTTCTAATATATAAAAGATCCAGTGCATTTTTGTAATAATGCATTCCAACAATGGCTTTTATATCATGTTGCTTAGCAATAAAAGTATAACCTAATATTGTTGTTAAGAGGCTATGTGCTGAAATTATAAAATGAAATGTATATCCTACAAATTGAAAAAAAATATTTTTGTTTTCTAATTTAAAGGCTCCATTAATTAAAGAGGTTTGTCTATTATTAAAGTTAAAAATTGAAAGACAAGACAGAAGGAAGGTTACCTTTATAAACAGGCCCCATCCCATAAAGGAGTAAAAAAAGTATATAGGTTATATTTTCTATGAAGAACTGTGACTAAACTTACATTGTTAAATGTTTAGTCTGTGTACTATAATCATCATACATTAATCAAAACACACAAAATAAAATGACAAATTTCTTTTAAATGAAATAATATAAAGAATGAAACAGCAAATCCCATCCTTCAAATGTAAATTTCATAATTCATTTAAACAATTAATAACTAGCTGTATCAAATATGTGAAAATGCATTAACATTGTATATATAAAAGATAAAAACAGCAAATTTACTTTATGGCACACTTCACAAAGCCTTTCACATCACTAGTTCCTTTTATATGAAACATTCATTACACACACAAGACAATCAGTATACACAGATCACATCAAAATAGACTACATATGATGCAAAACACAAAATGTATTCATAAAAAATTATACAAAACAGAAACTACACATAATGTTCCTTAAAATGTAAATCATTTACTTCAAAAACATAATAATTCTGTAAGAACACTGCCCTTTTCTCTAACTGAACCTACTTCTTCTGAAAACCAGGATGTCGAATACAAATCCACTGATCTGAAGTCATAGTTACCCGTGGCCAAGTTATATATGAAGCAGAAATTCCAAGGTGACATACCTGAAACACGAATATACATTTTTACACACACATACATACATACTGATTTTATATCGACAATGATTTTTAATCTTGTAAAATATTTTTAGGTTTAAGGTGTTCTGGATAGAGCTAGATGATTAACTCAATTAGCATCATGTAAAATAACTGATTAATTCCATTAATGTCTTGAATTAACAAATCAAAATTGGTGTTTCCATTTATTACTGTTTTTGATTATTTTAGGTATTCAAGTAATTGAATTATTTGCATAATGATTTCTCATTTTTTATTAATTCAAGAATGTTCAGCTTAATTGATTAATGTCAATGACTCAGAAAAATAACCAACTAACTATGATTACATTTTGCTTATACATAAGTCACGAATGTGAAGGTGTGACCTTGTAGCAGAATTGAGTTTCTCTTAAAAGTTGCAGGTTGCAAAAAAAGTGCCTGCTAGGTAGCCCACATAGCCCCTTAAAATTAAAAGAGCCATTAAATGTTTGGCTCCACATAAATTGATCTCAGCATTTCTTAACCAATCAGAACTTATGACAAACCATGAATGAACCTTCCCAAATTTATGAACACTTGTCAGTCATGTACAATCCACAAACATTGTCACCATGAATGTCCATGTATTGAAAGTAAATGCACTTTCATTAATAAGAATGCCATAAATCTATCCAGTATTCAAAGTTTTTCTTTAACAGCATAATGGAATTGATATATAAAATTTCATTTATAAAATTTAAAATATAGAGTAATTACTTGAACTTATATATAAAGACTACTGTTGTTTTCAATCAGAATGTGACTTTTTAACTATTTATGTATGACACCAAGCCTGCATCATGGCTCATACACCTGAAATATGTACATACAAGTTCTTTTTTTGTCAACACTTTCCAAAACTAGGAAGTACAAATTCCAAACTTGTAAATTATTTGAAGAATCTACCTTATTACAAGTATATTGTTTGAAAATGTATGCATGTTAGGGCAAATACTTTTGAATCCAACTTTGCAGACTGCACTAGCCAAAAATAAAAAACATCATATTATTGTTTTACCAACCATGTCACGATCAGAAATCACTAATTGCTGATTATCATAACACACAATTGGCCCAATTTGTTGCCAATTACAGTTATGTACAGTAAAGTTGATGATGTCATTGTGTACTATTGTTGACAGCTTATAACCTTAAAAACTGTAAAGACTACATAGAATGTACTTTGAAGATTCATTAACTCTTACAGGCTCGAACATTGGGATCGACCTCGTAACAATTTTGTGCTTGTTATAGTTTTCATACTATAGCTTTTAAATTAGTAAGCGAATGTTAACAAAATTTGGCAGATTATCAATAAACATTACAATGCTTTCATATGCAAAATATCAAATTTTTTTATCAAGTCTTATGGTTTGTAAAGCAACGTTTTTCTCATGTCTTTTTTTTTTTCGCATGTTGCCTATCTATCGTGCAAAGTAATATTCGTTTTAAGATTAAAAATACTTTTATGCATCAGAAAAGTTTGAAACTTCATATGCAAAATCTTTATATATGTATATAGATTACTGCTATTTTGAAATAACTTCTTAAACATATTTTTCATAAAAAATAAAACAATAACTAAAGAAGTAAAGCAAACAATTATCTCTTCTGTTACTACCTTTGTACTCGGTTGCTGTTTGACATAGGTTGCTAAACCTTTAAAAATTTTGCACATGAAGGATATGAAACAAAATAGACTTTTTTAGGTTTTATATATACATTTGAATAACTACAAAATCCACGATCCAGATTGAAAAGCAGGTGCAGGAGAGCGATGATGAAGGGGACAAAGAAAAATCCAAGAAATGGATGTTGGGGCATCATCGGAAATTGAGACTGATGCATACTAGATTTCCTTTTATTATTTATTTTGATTAGGAAAAGACACTAATTTAAATTTAACTTATCACCACCTAAACCCTTTTAGAGCTATTAGCATGTTTTCCATATGTTGCTAATTTGTGGATTTTTTTGCATTATCATCTAGCAACAAGCAGGGTTTAACTGTCTCACTTCCTCAGAGGTCAAAGGCTGTTTTAATAAAAAATGTAGTTGACCATATTCTTGGTAGTTTCTAATACACAATGTGAGACATACTTCATAAAATAAGAATCCTAATTCTGACCACTCACAAAATTTGAAGAAAAAATGTGGGTTCAATATGATGTCAGCTGTAAATAATGGTGTGGAAAGGCAACTAGTTATTCAATCATCCTTCAATATTTGTTGGATGTACCTTTACAATTATAAATTACACAAAACTGAAGTGATAGATGGAAGTTTTTCATAAAGAAAACAGACTGGTATGACTGTATAAATAAGTATTTACAGGTGAGTTTTCAGTAACATGTATTGTAAATGTTTCTGTACATTTAAACAAATTTAAATAAGCATTTTGGATTCTTTTAATAACAGTAATAAACATTAAATTTTCTTAATGAAATTCTTGTTTATCTACTTTTTTTATTAAACATAAATGATAAAACTAAGCTTTCTTTAGACTTTAATATTAAGCACTAAAAACATAGAAACTCCAAATACACAAAATGCTTTTAAAACAATTACACAGAGCACTTGGTTATTGAGTTGCACTTGACTTTAGTTCATTGTGTTTGTAACCTCTTTAATTACAATTGTAAAATTACCTAAACAAATTCTGTAATAAACTTATGCTTGAATAAAAATGTTCTTGTGAAAATTTTTGTGGTTAACAAGGAAATGTAAACAAAAATCTTCTTTGTGCTTTTAAATTAGATCTGGGAAAGAAACTGCTAATACACATATGTTCTTTAGATGCAGTATCTCTGCTACACTAAAGAAATACAGTTATCTGCTATACTAAATAAATCTTTACACACAATTTCCAAAAACCTCCATATTAACAGATCCCTAATAAATATGCATAAATATCCTACCAGTTGGTATTTGGTTTTCTATTACTAAAAGGTTCGAACATTAACCAACACTTGAAAGTTACATATACTATGTTAGCAAACTAATGAGTGTTTGTATGGATTTTGATATAAAACATATTTAGAAGTTTCTTTAAAATTATTTTTCTTTAATTTTCAGTATTTAAACCTTAATAGAGTAAACAACAGAAAAATAAAATGTGGAATATTTAATCATGATATAAAAATCATGTGAAATGACAAAAATAGCTAAAATACTATGAGGGTAAAATGAAGCATGCCATGCTCAGGGAAATTGTTTAACAGATACTGCTGTATAACAAGCATTTCATTTATGTAAGTAATATACTTTCAATGATATATAAAACCATACAAATGTTAAGGCTCTGTTGCAGCAAAGGTAACTACAACAATTTAAGACTAAAATGCACAAATCTTAATTAAAACATGAAAAAGAAGAAACCTGAAGAAGCTCTGTTACACATAGAGGAGAACTTCTAGCAGAGGCTTTTGCCATGATGAAGTCATTTGAATACAAGCTTCTCTCTTTTATCTTTTCTGAATATACAATTCACACATCTGAAATATTCAATATGAGTAATTACTATAAAACTACATATTTATAAATACTTTAAAAATAGTACAGAAGAAGTAGATTATTAGGTTAATAAAGACAATAATCTGAATTGGCAGAGGTATCAACAAGAAACTATGGCACATAGAATGTTTAACAACAAAATTTCTATAACAATATAACTAATACGAATTTTAGTAGCATCTAACAAAAATTTTACTTGTGTGTATTCAAAGACATAGCGTAAATTATATACAACAGCTTAATCATATTTTCAAAGAGGATTTTTAGTTTTAGGTTATTTTTAATGGAACTTTGTAATATTGGTTTATAAGTCTATGGGAAAAGTTAAAACAGGTTGTTTATACAACAAGATTAGCTTTTTATTTTGTGTTTTTAGAACTAGCAAATCATGAAAGTGTATCATTCTTCTGAGTTTAGACTAATTTTCTGTGAATATTTTAGACCTGGAATACATAAATCCCTACTCAAACATTCTTTTGTAATGAACTGTGCAAAAACGTGTGTTTTACTGAAACATCCAAATAAGATTATTATGTTTTAGGCCCCTTGACAAAAGCTCAAAACAACAAAAACTTTCTTTTGCCTGTTTTGGCCACAAAATGAATGAACAAAACACTACTCCTGGCTTTCATTTATAATATATTTCACTAGAGTAAAAGTAATTTTAACTGGTCTAAAAATATAATTCCATGGGCAACTGCTATCACCCACTTTATTATTTATATTTGGAATAACACTAGTAACTCTCCGATCATCAGACATCTGCCCGCTATCTATTGATTTATCAAAAATAATATATGAAACTCAAAATTATTGTCAAAACAAGAAAAATATCCCAAAATTTGCTGAACTAACATACAATAGAAGAAACAGAAATTAGAATGATTACGTTATGGATATGATATGGATAACACTCAAGAGACAAATCTCTAACCTACAACTTCCAAGTAGTACAACTTACACAGCCTATAGGCAGTGAGTATGGTTGCGAGTTATTTTTTATTTTGTATTATTTTTACCATCACGATATAATTTCAAAAAATAGTCAACAAAACGTTCAAAACTATACTACTAGTAGTAGTACTACTTTGGTTTATCCATAATTATAAAATGATTGGCGAGCAAGACCGATATCTGATTTTTCAAACAATAGTTAGAAATATATGATCAATTGTAAAACGAAAACTAGTTACAAATGGTCAAAGGGTAAAAATTCTAAAGCTAAAAACCTCTGTTTCATAGAAATATTTCAACATATTAAATACCCACCTTTCCATAAATGTAGAACTGTCACTCCTTCTTTCTGCTGAATAAATTTTTCACAGCGCCATCTTTGAGAGAAAATGATTTAACTTTTGTGTATTTCGTTGCTGAATAAACTGAAACAAAACTGGTTTCAAATAAATCTATCATGTTGGATAACGAATCTTTTCCGTTTGGTGCCCACCAGCAGTAATGAGCGTCAATGCGGAACTCATCGCCAAATGCTTGACCATTATCTTTGTGAATTTATATGGAGAAATATAAACAAAGATGAAGATTTATTCAAAAAAATATTGTTTAATATCGCAGAATTCGCTAAATAAATGTCATATTTTATTGCATTACTATTGGTTACTATTACTATTACGATCTATTGGTGGGCACCAAACGGAAAAGACCCAGGATAACTAATGTGATGATTAATAGTATTGGTATTTCTTTTTTAGGTTCAGTTCGGTTTGGCATGGTAGGAATTTAGGTTAAAGGTATATTTTATTTCCCTTCGGGGAATGAAATATAACCAGGGGTGGTCAGAAACTTCTGTTTCTCTTCACTCCACTACATAATTAGAATTAAGTGGCCGGGGCTTTTAAGAATTAAATGCTTACATGAGTGAAGGTCTTAACTGATAACTTTCCAAGTGACGAGTTCACAAGCTGAGGGAAGAGCTGCGAGGAGACGTGGAGAAGAAGAGGAAGAAGCAGAGCTTTGCTGAGTTGTGTGTTGACTACGGAAGTTTTCTTTCTTTCGGCGGGACCTGTGTGTTGGATGACCACGTAGCGGCAGGCGTTTGTAGAGCAGAGCAGACCAGGGAGATGCAGATCGAGTACGTTCGTTGTTGACTAAAATGTTGAGATTAAACTGATTAAAGAATATTGGCTAGCAATTTAGGATAAAGGTTTTACTATTAAAACATTAGCAGAGAACTATAGTGTTACATTTAACCTGAGATGGTCCTTTTCAGGTCTGGGATCTATGGATCCAAAATATAAGGAAAAATTTTGCTGTGGGGGAAACGGGAATACCCCAAGAAAACCCACTTTCACGGCCAGGGCACCGAATAAAATAACCTGACCGTGCCAGAAAAATGCTGTGGAAAAAGACATATTGTTAGTTTTCTTGGGTTGAATTCCATGTAGCTACTGGTGCTGCTTGAAGGCTAGAACGGGCTAGCTGGGTGAGAGGCGACGTGAGTCTGTGTGCACTCGAGTCGTTGTTTAGCTGGATTGGGCAACGGTTGATTAGTCGACGGAACAGTGCCTTGTGTAACGGGATGGTGCTAGGTGATGTGGGGCTTCGGTTGGTAGTGCGTATGAAGTTCTTAAAATGGATCTTGTCAATCTCTTGGAGTCTGTATCGTTGTAGTCTTCAGTCTGAATTCGTCGGTCCTTTTTGGCTATCCTGGTCTGTGTTTCTTGGTGTGTAAGAAAGAGGCTGTCCATAGAAGTGGAGGTGTCACACATGGTTGATAGAAGTGACACGGTTTGTGTCAATCGTGAAGTTATCTGGAGGTTGGTTGTTTGAGTGCTGGAGTTTACTTTCATGGTTGTTTTACTGGTAGGCAGTTCTGTCTCAGAAGCAGGTGAGGCGGCTAGAACAGGATACTGTTGATTTTGATGTGTCATGGGCTTGGAAGATCTAGTTATGGCGTCGCTGTTTCTAGAGATTAGGCGTCTCCTTGGTCTTTCGGCTGTGAAATGAAAAAAGAAGTAGACAAAACCATTAGTTAGCAAGTGTTCTGCAGTGAATTTAGAGGTAGTAAATATTATGGTGTATTGGGTTGGCAGGTTCGTGCTTCTTGATTTGATGTGATGTACTGCATGGATCGTATAGTCTGGTATGGCCTCCAGGCATGTGTATATGTCGTCAGTTGAGGTGGACTGGTCGACGTTTCTAAGGAAAACAGAGAAAAGTTTTGAATTAACTCTGGGAGGTTTGCAAGTAACTGGTGGGTTGGAGTTCCATGGGGAACAGAAATAAGCTACGTCTTCGGGAGTAAGGAGTTGAATAAAAATCCCTCCCCTTCTTAAAAGTCTTGTCTTAGACAGGTCGATGGCTACATCGGGTTTGTATTTTCTTAGGAAAATATTTATCCAATTGAGGGAGAAATCTTTAGGGATGCCATCAATAATAATGGGCAAAGCCGTAGGCAACCGTTGAGTGGGTTGCCTTCCTGCAGGAAGGTTAGCCACTTGGGTGTGGAGCTTGGTAAAACACGTCTTCATGGTTCGAAGTTTCGTTAAGGAATGAAAAATAAAACCTTCTTTTTTTAGGTTGCTCCATTCAACTATTTAAATATAGCGGGGGGGAGGGGATTAGCCATTAAAAACGGGCCGGGAAAATCTTTCTGTACCGACTCTTTAGTGCTATCTGGGGAGAGAGTTATGAAAAAATTGAGCCTATAAAATATAACCCTACTATAGTAATATTCAGACAGTTCACAAATCAAACAAAAATACATTCTTTGAAGTTTTTGATTTATAACACAACGCTTATTATATTAATTATCCGTCTTAGTAAAATATTGTTATGTATATGCTTGTTTGTTAATTTCCCGTAGAAATTCTTTCTGAGAAACTTCAGCCATACAAATCCTTTCTCAATTAAAACTAGTTTGTTCGTTTTCGATACAACTTTGCAATACACAGAATTTCCACAGTAACTTTAACTTAACTACTTTTATAAAAACACGCTATAATTCACAGCGGTTCACACACTTTACTTACAGTGCCTACTGCTCGCTTGACTCAATTATCCTATCTTCAATCTATCTCCGGCTTATATACTAAAAAAAGAGGACATCTAGCAAATGCTGGGACATTCGTGAGGTTCCCCAATCCTTCTAGAAACTCCACCGCCCATGCTTCCAACGTCGCGTGACTTCTACTGTCGTAACACTGCCCCTTCCTTAGTATTGTTCATCCCGAACAATAGCCACTTACATTAAACTAATAGATAATTAACAATAACTTAATTAAATGTACAGAATTTACAAACACAAAATTAAAATTCAACAAAGTCTCTTAATTTTATGGGACGCAGCTTCTTCCGTACTGGTCTCTGTCTCGTTGGCATCTGCTTCACGTGGGGTTCATCTGCTCCATCAGAAAATGTCCTATTGTCGGTAACAGCCACATCAGAGGTAGTAAATTCATTAAGGGCTTCACTGTTTCCCTTCTCAAAACCGAGTAGAGTTTCTTCTTCGACAGTGGCTTTTTCAGGTGACACGTCTTCAGCAGCATCATTTGTTCCATTGTTCAGTTCGTTCCAATTGAAATGTCCTAGACCGTGATAACGCCAAAGCCTGTTGGCATGCACCACCTTTGGCTTACCTCGGTGACCACATTTTATCTGAAAAGTCTTCCTGGGATTATACAACCACACCTTGTCTCCTGGTACAAAGCTGACTTCAGTAGATCTCTTATCATAAGATAACTTCATCGAATCAGCAGACGTTTTCAAGTTTGAAAG